TTTTTTTTTTTTTTTTTTGTCTTTTAACCAGTATCAAATCCAATACAAACTCAGTTTCTTCGCTTTTTTTCACGACACCTGAATATGTCAGAAGTATAAGTAAAAAAAAAAAGACTTCTGAAAGGTGTCAAGACTGTTGCTACTGTTCACTAGTTTTGTTGTTGTTTTTTTTTTTCTTTTTTTTTTGATAAATGCCGGGCTGGAAGACACTTTTGAAGCTGTCACCTATTCTGCTGCTCGTTAATCTAAGCACAACAAATAAATCAAAAAACGGAAAATGAAAAAAAAGGGAAAGAAAACAAAATTTTATTGAGATTAAGATTAAGGTCATCCCTGTTGTGTTTTACAAATTTAATTTACAGATGTTTTTCCGTTTTTTTTCCCCTCTTTTTCGTTTCTTAATTTTATATACGTCAGCAGTTTTTTTTACGGCAAAAAAGTTGTTGTCAATGAATGTTTTGTTAACAGAACCATTATCAGAGCAGACATATAGAATTGCCTAAAAATAAAAGATGCTTCTACTAGATTTTTCTATAATTACAGCTTGAACGGCAACTTGAGGCTTTTGAGAGGCGACATAATGACGATGTTTTAAATCCAGAAGAAAGTGGCCGATTCTTTGAGGGTTTGTTGCTGCTACCCTCAATCAACTCTACGTTTTCTTTGTTCCAATCTATCTTTTATCCTTGGTTGCATATTAAACAGCAATTTAGCAGGGCAATTTATTTACAGTTTTGTAGACAACTTTTAGGTGACATTGTATTAGACGCTGAACAGGCAAGAGAAATCTATGAAAATGCTATACAACATGGTTATCGTGTTAAGCGGAAATTCATTGGATCAGAACTTCGGCGATGGAATCCGCGTCAACCAATTATCTACAGTTTTGATGGTTCACACAGTAAGCAAATGTTGTTTGCAAAAGAAAATAAAAACGATTAGAAAAAAATGATTAAGCCAACAAATAATTTGCTTTAAATTATTACACCTTTTCTTTTTTACACATTCTCAATTTTAAGCCACTGCTGCTTCGTGTTTTTTCTTGTTGTTGATGCTGCTTAAGAAGACACAGTTATATTGGTGCAATCACTCTGAAAGCTTTCATAAATTTCGATTATACACCGAAACAAAAAAAACACAGTAGAAGGAGAAAAATAAGACTAGATCAA